CAATATCTGAAGTTCTCTACACACACACACACACACACACACACACACACACACACACACACACACACACACACACACACGGGCACAGCAGGGGAAGAGTGGAAGTCCAATGTGAAGTGAACCATTCCAACCCTGAACGTTCGTTAACTTTCCAGGCAACTTCTTCCGTTTCCTGGGCTAATGGCCTACTTCCAGATCAGTTTTCAGCACATCAGCTCACTCTGGGCTCTGAACTAGTAAATCAGTCCTGTGTTCCGGTCAGTTAAACATGGAGGGAGTTTATCGTGAGGCGGTATTTCCCAGCAGCCGCTGGAAAGGCTGCAGTTCAGGTTTCTGGGGAAAGCAGAGCACAATCAGATAACCTTCCCCAAGGCACCTGCTTGATGAACAGTTAGTGTGTGACTCAAGGCGCTCCCCAGTCTCCGGCAGTGGGGGAGGTGTGCTGTTTCTCACAGGGTCTTTTCTTTTTTTGGCAGGGGGTGGTTAGGAGGGGAAATGAACTTCCTGTCTCAGCTTCCTTCAGGAATCCCTAAAGAGACATGGAAGTTACATGGTCCACAGGTCCCCATTCAGAGCTGAGCATCTGGGACGTAAAACTGGCATGTGACAACCAGGCCTCACAATGGCTAAGAGAGTCGCCTTCCTGCCAGTAATGGGATCCAGCAGTTTAACAATTTAGTTGGAGGTGCTCCCAGCCACTGAGGGGAAGAGCTTTTTTTTCCAGTACCTTCTATGGTGAATAGCTTACGGAGCCTTAGCCAGGCCCCCTTCCAATCTGAAAGTCAACATTTGTGTTTGCTGTGGTTGGAGGATCCAGAACTTGATGGCTGTAAGTGCTAGAAACAGAATATTAACTACACACCCTAAAGCACCCATGTCCTTAGCTGCCCACTCCACAAACAGGTCAAATGGCCCCTGCTGAGACCGTGCTTCCTCATGGCAGATGCCAGGGGTTGGCTGGCTGCTGTGACAAGTTAGGAGTGAACTTTGTCCTCCTTCTCTACCCAGAAGGGACACACACGTGACACCGCCAAGTGCCTTCCACAGTAGGCTCTGTCTTGAATACTGCATAAATGTGTGCGAGCACATGCCAGCAAGCGTGTGTGCGTGTGTGCCCTGTGGTGTCAAAGGTCAGCCTCTGGTGTCATCTCTCAGGTGCCACCCAGCTTGCTTTGAGAGAAAAAATTCTCATTGACCCAGGGTCTGCTGACTAAGGTGGGCTGGCTGGCCAGTGAGCTTTGGAAATCCACACATGTCTACCAACCAGTGCTCAGATTACAAGTGTGCTGCACCCCACCTGGCTTTTTAATGTGGATTCTAGGTCCCTATGCCTGTGTAGCAAACGTTTTACCATCTGAGTTAACTTCCCAGCCCAACTCAATTTTTAAAGCAAGCCAGTGTGTTAATTCATTGCTTCTCTCAACTAATGGGTCAAAAAAGTTGAAAAGGAATGGCAATACGGCTCAGTGAGTAAAGGTGCTTGCCGCTAAGCCTGATACCCGAGTAGTCTGTTCCTCAGGATCCACATGGTGGAAAGAAAAAAGCCATCCTTTGACCTCCACGTACCTGCAGCGAGGTGCACACATCCTAAAATAAATGAAAATGTAATGCGAAATTTTCAAACGTAATGAGTAAAAAAATTAAACCGTATGAAACAAAATAAACACAGTATTCTGAGCTCGCATCAGTGTGACGTAAGAGCAGCTAGAGCTGGACCTGGAGCAGGCCTGGGTCTCACGTCAGCTCCACCTCCATTTTCAGCTCCCTTGCTGAAGAAGAACTGCTTCCCTCAGAGAACAAGGAGCTGCTCTGCTCACTTCTACAGAGAAGGTTCTGAGAGAGTGAGGCTGGAGGGTTCTGTGTGCTCTAGCTTCTCACGGGCAGAAGGAAGTCCCGTCAATCCTGTATTCACATGTGTTGATAACTCCCTCGGGGCTATGAGCTACCAGGTTGCTTCCCAAAGACTCAAGGCATGCCGGGATGCAATGTAAGGTGGGAGACCCCGGGCTCATCCTGGTGGCCAAGCTGCCAGCAGCTGTCATCGCTCTGACTGGGCCAGGGGTCACTCTTCACCTTTGGGGTTAGAGACAGTGTTTAGGAGATGCCACCCCTCCCGCCATGTGCTCACCTATACCCGTGACAGGCTGAAAACCAACAGCAGGGCGCTTGCCCAAAATATACTAGTGCAGGGTTGGCTGCAGCACAGGGGGAAGGGTGTTCCCTATAATCCTCTAGTGAGGGGCTGGAAGCGTGGCTCGGTGGTAGAGTCCTACCTGGAATCTTCTATGGTGAGGTGATGGGATGCTGCTTAGTGACAGAACACCTGCCTAGAACCTTCCCGTGAGGCACTGGGGATGGGGGTTCATCTGTGGTGTACTTGCCTAGCATGCATGAGGCCCTGAGATTCACCTCGCAAAGTACATGTGCAGAAAAGGACTCTAGTCTCGAGAGAGTGCAGAGAGGGAAAGCAGGCAAGCGTGGGGTTAATAAGGAGAAACTGAAGAGAGAAAGCAACTGAGGGGAGCCACTCTCTGAGGAGGCGTGGGAACTCCACAGCCCTTCTCACCCGCACGCGCCCCCTTTACGGCTTTGTCTTTCAATTCTATTTTTATGTGTGTGCATGTGAGTGCGATTACTTGTCTGTGTGTGCACCATGCGTGCACAGGTGCCCACAGAGCCCAGAAGAGAGGGGTGGATCCCCCGGAGCTGAAGTTTCAGATATCCATGAGCCACCCAATGTGACTACTAAGAACTGAACTCGTGTCCCCTGCAAGAGCAGCAAGTGTTTCTAACTGTTGAGCCGTCTCTCTGGCCCCTGGTGTCAGGTTTTCAAAGCTCAGAATATGTGAGTGACTGCGAACGTGCTGTTTGAGCTCACCGAGGGGCTGGCTGCACTCCCCACCCCAAGCCCAGACAGACACAGACGCATGTTTGTCTCAAAGTGTCCTTTGTCTGGACAGGGCTGCTTCCCTAACTCTGCGACAAGAACGAAAAGATCAGCAAAGCAGCCCAAGAGTGAAAACCCTGAGGTGCCCTTGAGGACAGCCAGAAGATGAGCCGTCTGTAGCAGAGGTTACTATCTAACATCTATCCATCACTTGCTATTTTTCTTTTACTGTGGCTTCCTGTTCATGTAATGAAGTCAGTTAGGGGTTTTGAACAATGGCTCAGAAGTTAAGAGCACTGGCTTCACTTTCAGAGGACTGGGGCTCAATTCCCAGCACTCACAGGGTGGCTCACAACCTTCTGTAACTCCAGTCCTGGGAGATCTAGCGCCCACTTCTGGTCTTCAAGAGCACTACACACGTATAGTATACACACATGCAGGCAAAACACTTATACATACAAAAAAGAATTAAAAAAAACAATAAAGATAAACACACTTATATAAAACAGAAAATACAGCTATCGTAGATCATTCTCTTAACCCAGGACACTGGCATTACTGGTAAATTCAGGTCAGTGCTTACCTGGGAAGAAAGTAGTGCATATTTATTCAGAAGAAACAAACAAAAACCCAGCAAAAGCAAAGCTCCTGCCTTTACTCTGGGATGAAAGAGGAGGCTTCTGTTTGCTCTGAATTTAGCATAAGAACATGTCAACCTGCCTCTGGGGAGTCGATGTGACCATTCCCAGCCCTGTGTTTTCCTGCAATGGAAGACGTCATCTGAGAAAGCTACATGATGAAGCTCACAAGCTGCAGTCATTGCATTGCTAAACCTAGAACTGAGTGGAGGCTGCATGCTTTTCCTTTCAACTGTCTGTTTGCTCAGGAATTCTGCTTGTCTCTGGCTGGGGATGCTGGCTTTGATTGGTCCACACACTGGTACCTGAGGCTGGAGGAGGCTGCAGGGCAGGGAGGAGGTGAAATACAGGCCCTGTCCCTACAGGACTGATGGGGTTCGAGTATAACACATCAGAGCAGAGTGGGAAGGATGGGGTGGCAGGAAGAGAAGACCTCCAGGCACAGACATTGGCACTGGCATTTTTGATGAGGTGAGAGTTGATGGCGGGGTCATAGCATCAGTGAGAGAACATTCCAGAGGTTAGTGCATGATGACAAGGCTCCCTGAAAAATCCCCATCACACCCCTGAAAAACTCAGGACTCAGGAAACATGAGGCCACTGGAGTTAGATTTTGTTTGTTTTGTTTGAGGCCAGGCTCCATGTAGCTCAGTCTGACCTCGACATTGCTCTGACGACGACCTTGAATTTTGTATCCTCTTGTGTCCACCACCTCCCAAGAGTCAGGATCACAGTTCCATGCCACCATGCTTTGTTTATGTGGCACTGGAGTTGGAATGAAGGATCTCAACTCAGTCCTACCAACGGAGCCACAACCCCGAATTCTTAAAAACCATTTATAGTCTGCACGTGGGAAGCTTACCATATGCCAATTATACCATCATAGTCTGTAGTTCTTCAAATACACATGCAGTTCTAATCCACCATTTATAATAGATTTGCTTTCATATTTACAGCAAACAACTGAGACCTACCCATTTGGGTTGTCATAAAGAGTCTCTAAGCCCAGGGAACCTCAGATCTACCCCACAGCTGGTGAGCTGAACAGCGGGTTCTGTGCTGCGAGCCGGCACTCTGTCTAACTGTGCAAGCTGCTTTGGTACCAAGGGAACTCACACTACTAAGAACCAGGAGCTGCTCAACACATTTTCAACAAAACAGAAAAGACATGTAGGCCCTCTACTGCAGCGTGGCCTGGGAGAGAGAAGCACCCTCATTTCCAGTGTGCCTTTGGGCAGACGATGCACTGTCCTCTAGAGAGCTGAGCTCAGATTCCTTCACACAGCCCCCTCCCTGTCTCCACCTACATGTCCTGTTCACTTTCCACTGGGGTCACGGCCCCAAAAATGTTTCAGCTGAGTTTTCTATGATGTCATATTTTCATTTCACACAGAACTCTGCCTTGACCTCTACAGAGGAGCCTGTGGACCCCAGCACTGTCCAGGCTCCCAGACCTGGAGGCAAAGCCCACTCACCTGGCACGAGAGATACAGTCAGGGTTTGAGGGTGGATGCTGGGAGGAGCCTTCTTTCTGATTTCCAGACTTTAAATAGCATGACTTGATTTCTCCTGCAAAATCATGAGATTTGAGCCAAGAGTATCATTCCATTGTCTATGAAAAGCCAACTCACTTCCACCGTCTTCAAGCTAAAGGCTGTCAGACTGTCTGTGGAGTGATTGGGTTTGTTTTGTTCTGTTTGACATTTGAAGCAGAAGTTTATTTACCAAAGGAGAATGGCATTTAAAGAAAATCACCAAGAAAAAGATTCTGTGTGTCTACCTGGTACACCCAGAGTACTCACTACATCCTCGGCCTTTGATCTATCTGATTGTCAGTACCATTCTGCTAGTCAATTCATTTCTGCTTCCTTCTTTTCTTTAGCTTTTTCTTTCCATGTCGTTTTCTCTCCCTATCGTGTTAGGGCTGGTCTCCAACTGTCAATCTTCCTGTCTCAGCTTTATGCTGGGATTATAGGCATGGGATACTACTATGCTTAGTATTCTTTCCCAGGTAGCCTAGGCTGGCCTTGAACCTTGAACTCACTGTGTAGCCATGACACCCATGAACTCCTGGTTCTCCTGCTTTGATTCCTGAGTGCTGGGATCATTGGAGGGATTATTTTTTTTATTTTATTTTCCAGTTTAAATTTAGATAAGAAACAAGGTTGCTTCACAAGTGAGTTCCAGGTCCCTCTCTCTTTCCCTCCCCTCCTCCCATGCCCTCCCCCCAACCCCCCCTCCCGTTATCCCCTCATTCCTCCAGGGAGGGTGAGGAGTCTAAAATGGCTGAGAGGCACTTGAGAAAGTGCTCAATATCCTTAGCCATCCGGGAAATGCAAATCAAAACAACTCTGAGATACCATCTCACTCCTGTCAGAATGGCTAAAATCAAAAACACCAATGACAATTTATGCTGGAGAGGATGTGGTGAAAGGGGACACTCCTCCATTGCTGGTGGGGGTGCCAACTGGTTCAGCCACTTTGGAAATCAGTATGGAGAGTCCTCAGAAAAATGGGAATAAACCTACCACAAGACCCAGCAACTCCACTCTTAGGCATATATCCAAAAGATGCCCATTCATACAACAAAGATGTCTGTTCCACTATATTCATAGCAGCTTTATTTGTAATAGCCAGAACTTGGAAGCAACCTAGATGTCCCTCAACCGAAGAGTGGATAGAGAAAATGTGGTACATCTACACGATGGAGTACTATTCAGCAGAAAAAAAAATAATGGAATCATGAGATTCGCAAGCAAATGGATGACACTAGAAGAAACCATCCTGAGTGAGGTAACCCAGTCACAAAAAGAGAAACATGGCATGTACTCTCTCATATATGGATTTTAGACATAGATCTGGGGAGTGCCAGCCTACAATCCTATGGCCAGAGAGTCTGGGAAACAGAAACTTCATTTAGTGGCTGATTGAAGAAGAGGCAGACTCCCTTGGTTAAGTACTGAGCTGAACTCAAGAAGGGATTATTATTAAGTGGTGCTGGGAATCTACCCCAGGACTTCTCATACCCTACAGGCAGATACATCCCCAGTCCTTTACTTCATGTTCCAGCAGGACTGGAGGAAGGCTGTGTGCAGGCACATGGGTACCATGTAAAAAAAGAGACTCAGATGGAGACCAGAGTCCAGGCTGCCTCAGGGAAGGCAAGCAAGCGTGGCTGCTGACTTCATGTCAGCCTGGTAAAAAGGAGAAGATCGGGTGGGATCCATTTGCAGAGTTAAGGTAGTTTGGCTGGAGGGTCCTGGGTATTGGGGTGAAAATCAGCTCCTGCCCTAATGAAATCTGATCCCAAGGAGCGCCTTCCTCTATAGTCCCAGGAAATGCTGTTAACTTCCTGGTGGAGACACACTTGCCAAGTGAACCCTCAGCTCCAAAGTGCCAAACAAAACCAAAGTCTGACCTCCATCTTCTGGAGGCTTAGATAAAAGTGTGTGTGTGTGTGTGTGTGTGTGTGTGAGAGAGAGAGAGAGAGAGAGAGAGAGAGAGAGAGAGAGAGAGAGAGAGAGAGAGAGAGAGAGAGAGAGGATAATGAGCTAGATAAGGCCACAGATGTCAGTATCCTGAGTACTTAGTAACTGACAATAGACTGGAGCCATACAGACAAACAGCACATGCTTTCTCACAGGCGGGCCCTATCTTCTCATTTCCAATTGTGTATATTTGTGTTTATGTTGGCGTGAGTGTATATAGAGACCAAGAAACAAGAAGGGGACCGGGCAGGAATAAACAGAGGCATCAGTGGAAGGGTGAGGGGGAAGTAGGATATATGTGATTTCAAAGAGAAAGACCAATATGCCATGGAAGGGTTCATGCAAGGATGGGGGCTAGGAGTCAGGGAGACATGACCAAAACTAAACCAGCATGGAAACCCTATAAAGAAACCTGCTACTTTGTACACTGATTAAAAAATAACTTAAAAAATGAAAAAGGATGCTATGCTAGGCAAGACCTAGCCCAGAACAATCAGAGCCAATGTCCCTTGTCTTTGAACTCTGAGCCAAATAAATTCATTGATGATTCCTCATGTAACTACTTTATTTTTATATGAAGTTGCCAGGAAAAGCTATGAGGATCAGATGTTTAGCAAATATCTAATAAATATTTACCGGGCACTGTGCACGTGCCCTGATGAAGTCTTCACTTGAGGAGGGAAACATAATTAGCAAATTATTAGAAGACAAGAAATAATTACTGTAATAGTGCAGATGAAAGTAAAGGATTGGGTGTTTAGAGAAAAAATTGCAGGGCCCAGGGATGTGCTCAGCGGGTAGAGTGCTTGCCCGGAGCTCTGGTTCCCATCCTAGGACCACATAAACCAAGCACACACCTGACATCCCAGCACTCAGGAGCTAAGGGCTGGAGTGCCAGAAGTTCAAGGTCAGTCTGAGCTATGTAGTTATTTGAAGCTAGCCCAAGCTACATAAAGCCTTGTGTCAGAAAAATAAATTTAAAAATAAAATAAAATGTTTTAAAAGAGCAAAAATCAGATGTACCTGGTTAACTCTGAGGTTTGCCTGAAAACTTCTCATTGGAAATAAGACATCAAGGGTAAGTAGCATACTCAGGTATACTAAGCATAGCACATGGCAAGGCAGAGAGGAGAGAGCATCTTCAAGAATACTCTGAGGCAATCCCAGGACTGTCTGACTGCTGTAGTATCTAACTTACACTTAGACTATGGACCCAGCAGAGCTCCCAAGGAAGCCATGGCTGTCTTGCCTCTTGCTCCCTAGGAGATCTTTAAGACTCACCATGCTCATCGATGAAAACGTGCATGGCACCCAGAGACATTTCCTCCTGCACAGATGTCTCCGGCCCACTGATGACCTGCAGCACCGAGCTGTCCTGTTGGGAAGTCACTCTGTAGATGATCTGCCTTTGCCGACTGCCCTGGAAACTTAACACACACGGAAGTTTCAAGGATGGTGTGCTGGCTAGCTTTATGTCAACTTGACACAAGTTAAGAGTCATCAGAGAGAAGGAAACCTCAATTGAGAAAATGCCTCCATAAGATTGGGCTATCAGCAAACCTGTTGGGCAATTTCTTAATTAGTGATTGATGGGGGAGGACCTAGTTCATTGTGAGCAGCCCACCCTTGGGCCAGCAGTCCTGGGCTCTATAAGAAAGCTCTATAATTGGACAAGTCATGGGGATCAAGCCAGTAAGCAGCGTTCCTCCATGGCCTCTGCATCAGTTCCTGCCTCCAGGTTTCTGCCCGGCTTGAGTTCCTGCCCTCAATACTTTTGGTGGTGAACTGTTATATGGAGCTGTAAGTGAAATAAACCCTTTCCTCCCCAAGTGGCTTTTGGACATGGTGTTTCATCACAGCAATAGCAACTCTAACTAAGACAGATGGCGAGGGGTTGGGAGATGACTCAGGTTCTGATCCTCAGAACCCAAGTGAACAAAAGCCAAGCATTAAGACACTTCCCAATAATCCCGTGGCTAGGGAGGAGACAGGAGGATTCTCCTAGGCTGCCTGGTTAGCCAATGTAGACAAACTGGTAAGCTCTAGGTTCAATCAGAGATGGAGAGCTAGTGAGATGTTCAACATCTCAGACAGACAAACAGACAGACAGACAGACACACACACACACACAGGAATTGTTTACCCTCCCTAAACTATTACAAGGAGCATCTGGTGGCAGAGGTCACTTCACACTCAGAGCAGCCTTAAGTGACCAGGTCGTTCTCTTACAGTGCTGTGGTCTTGGCAGGCTGTGTGAACACCGGGCTGGCGATTGCATGGTCTTGGCTTGGCAAGTCTGGTTTTCCTGGCTTCGGATCATGCCCACTGGGTTTTTCACTTTCCACTGTTTCCTCCTTGGTCCCTGGGTCAGCATGATCTGAAAGATACAGCTTTCCATGTTAACAGGAAACAGGAAAACTACCTTAGTGTTCAGGGAATAAACTAACAGCCCTGAAATATGAAAAGAATGAAGACTCCGGCCTGGTAGTTAGGCCAATAACACCAGCACTTGGGGAACTGAGGCAGGAGAATAGCTATGAGTTCCACCTCAGCTTGGGCTACAGAGTGAGACCTGGCCTCAAAATCAAGCAAATAACAAAGCTTCAAACAGTCTGGGTATGATGGTGTATACCTATAATCTTAGCATTCAGGAGGATCCCAAGGAGTTAGAGGCTAGCCTGGACTCCATAGTAAGATTCTGCATAAATGACAGAGAGAGAAGGGGAGGAAGAGAGGAAGGGAGGAAAGACAGGTTTCTAGATAGCTCTTCCTTTCACTAAGTATGAAAGTCTACAAATATATTTGAAACATGAACACCTACATACATTTGAGACAAGTTGTTCAGACATCCTCAGTCACCATCTACTCTGCCAAGGGATTTAGAGACTCAGTGATATCCACTACCCTGTTGGAATCCCCATACACATACATGAAAGAGTCCTAACACACAAATGCTCAGCCTTGGATTTAAAAACAGAAGACTACAGTAGACAATCTGTTTCTGATCCCACTGACCATTTGAAAACCTCACCGTCTTTCTAGTCACTTGCTCTCTACAGGCCAATCTAGCTAAAGGCAGACATAAGTTGATTGCTACTGACTTGGAACTAACAGCCATGTTAGTGTCATGGAAGAAGGCACAGCATGACCCACACTCACCATTTGCTGGGACTACCTGAAGGTGCAAAACTGTTCAGATGTTGGCAAGTACGGACGGGAGGGGAGGGGTTGCTTAAAATCTTATCTAGACAGCAGTCCAGACTAAGGGTCTTGTCTTATGCTATGATGAGAAGTGAAGAATGCACCTGGATTATGTGTGGACACAGACAGGGCTCAAATCTGTCAACCCTGAAGGGTCTCAGCCTGGACCTGAAAACAGGGACAAAAGGTCTGAATCTATAAGACCTTTCAAGACACATTGTTGAGGGACAAGGAAGATGGCTCAGTGGATAAGATGCTTTCTGTGCCAGCATGAGGACCTCAGTTTGACTCCAGAACCCATCAGACTAGCCAAGCACAGTGGCACACATCTGCAGCATCAGTGCTGGGAGATGGAGACAGGCAGGTCCCTGAAGATTGCCGGCCTAGCTGAACCATTGAGCTCCAGGTTCAACGAGTGATCCTGCCTCAGAAAACAAGGTGGAAAGCAATGGAGAAAGACACCTGACATCTAACCCTCACCTCCACATGCATGCATGCACATGTATACATATATGTAAACACATATGTGCACGTGTGCACACACACACACACACACACCCTACACACACAGAAAAGATACGCCATTGGACTGAAGTTGGAGTGATATGTCTGAGGATGTCAACCACATGACCACAGCCATCCCTCCCTGGGCTTCTCAGTCACTGGAGGAAATTGCTGGCTTCTGAATGGCCCTGACACTAAGCATTCCCAGAATATCAGTGACAAGTCTCTCTCTCTCTCTCTCTCTCTCTCTCTCTCTCTCTCTCCCTCTCCCCCCCCCCTCTCTCTCTCACACACACACACACACACACAGAGATTTGGATTTCATTTGACAGTCTGTTAGGCAGGCAGTACTCACAGCTGTCAAGAAAAGCATGAAAGCAGAACAAATAGCCATGCCAGGACCCATCTCAGAAGAGGGGCATGCGAAGAAGCTCCTCGGGTCAGCATATGGGCCACCTCTTCAGGTCCCCCTAATCCAGGTGTTTGCTCTTACAACAGAGCTCATTGGAGTTTTTATTTTCTTAGACAGGAAACATCTTTCATAAAATGAACCAATACTAAAGATACCCTCTCTTAGTTAGGGTTTCTAATGCTGTGAAAAGACACCATGACAACAGCAACTTTTATAAAGGAAAGCATTTAATTGGAACTGGCTTACAGTTCAGAGGTTTAGTCCATTAACATCATGGCAGGAAGCATGGCAGCATGCATGCAGACATGGTGCTGGAGAAGGAGCTGAGAGTTTTATGTCCAGACCAGCAGGCAGAAGGGAAAGTGACACTGGGCCTGACCTGAGCTTCTGAAAACTCAAAGTCTATCCCCAGTAACACACTCTCTGCAACATGACCACACCTACTCCCATAAGGCCACACCTCCTAATGGTGCCACTCCTTATGGACCTATGGGGGCTGTTTTCATTCAAACCACCACATACCCTTCTTTAACTATCATATTTACTTTAAAGATTAATGTTCTCAAATGTCATCAGGTAATCTTCCAAGTCACCCTAAAACAGTTACATCTGTAGATAAAGTGTAGCATGTTAACAAGATCCTTGCAAACTTAAACTGTTTCACTTTCCTGAGGTGTAGATATTTCTTCAGAATGGAAACACTTTGTCCACAAGGGAAGCTCACAACTAGAGGACATGTACAAGCTTCCCAAAACTCCCTGAGATTACAAGCAAAATTAGGGTTTGGGTCGCATTTTTCAATTGTCAGTCTCCTGGAGGAGACTCTGACCCGTCATATGGCCTGCAAGGAAACCCAGAGATGAAGGTTTAGTGAGGCATCAATGATGGTGGGGGGGCTGTGTGGTAATGCAGCTGCTTTTGAATAGCTCGTGCAACAGCAATAAACTCATTGGGTCACTAATCTTGCCTGGGGTGAAAAGTTTCTTTGGTCTGTCCCAGATGCCCTGTCTGGAGTACTGGTTTACATCTCCCTGAGGAAAATCACACACCTATGTCACAGATAATTCTTCCATCAATAAAATCTTTGTGTGTGTAGCACATTTAGGTTACAGTTTTGTAGAAATTTCTAAAAGTTAAGAGACTGAACAAACAAAAGAATGATGACTAGTTAATATATACAGGGATCTCCAATCCACAGCCGAAGCGGTCAGAAACCCACGCATTACCTTCAGCCCCAGCCCAGGACCAGGGTTACCATGGGAGAATCAAGCATGGCAGACATCAGGTCACCACTAGCAAACAGTCCAGGAATCCATCCATGCTCTGTGACATTAAATTCCACATGGGCAGGACCTCTAAGTAATAGAGCTTCCTGCATCTGTCCCCATTTTCAGTATTTCCAAGCAAATAAAGCCAAACCAGCCCTAACCAACTGTACAAAACAGTCCATGTCCAACTTCTCTAGCAGACAGATTCCAGGGCAGACAAGAAACCCCCAATCCTCACCATCACCAGGAGCTGTGTACAGCCCTCCTGGCTTTAAGTTGCTGCCAAACCAGCTCATAGTTGTTTCTTTTGGTTTGGGTTTTCAGACAGACTTTCTCCACTGACCTCAATCTTCCTGTCTCAGCCTCTGCAGAACCAGAATGATGGGTGTGCACCACCACACTCAGTTTTAGACTTTGGGTGGTGCATGGTTTCCCACAACCTTGAGTTGAAGGATGATGTGAGAGGGCTGAGGACCATTTGCTGCCCTTCCTCCCATAGCTCAGCTGATGGAGAGCATCCTAAGGGGAGTTAGGAGCTCCACCCTCACTCCAGTCAGATCCAAGGGCAAGCTGCATCCTCCTATCAATCAGAACTATGACTAGAAGAGATGCCAAATACCTCCAATGTCATTTCACAGGCCCATTCTAGAACTGGTTATTCAAATTACAGTAACCAGTTATTCCTCAGAGAGAGAGAGAGAGAGAGAGAGAGAGAGAGAGAGAGAGAGAGAGAGAGACAGACAGACAGACAGACAGAGAGACAGACAGAGAGACAGACAGAGAGACAGACAGAGAGACAGAGAGAGAGAGAGAGAGAGAGAGAGAGAGAGAGAGAGAGAGAGAGTAGCACACAGCTATTCTCTCTGACACCTGCCTGAATACCACTGAAGCCTCTCTGGTGCCAGTTGTTGGGCTGTTAGCTTCTTTTCTGAAGGAGACACACAGTCTAGTCCCACTCTTGAATCAGGAAGACAGAGGAATCACAGGGACAGAGGGAAGGGAGGAAGGCTTCCTGGAATCTGGCTGAATCCTCGCCCCATCTGACAGGATCCCAGCATCATTAACAATTGCTGTCAAAGTTGCCAACAATCAGATGATGCTTTTTTCAATGGAGATATTTTGAATAAGAATGTTAAAATAGCAAGAACTCCTTGCTTAAGGTCTGTAGATGGCCTTAACTGCTCTCCAGATGTGACACTGAGTTTTCTGAGACTCTTACAAACAAGAGTATAAACTTTTGTTTGTACTCTGTATGAGAGTGAAGATATCTGTCATAGTTTGCTACTCTGTTGATGTCATAAAACACTCTGACCAAAAAGCAACTTGAGGAGGAAGGGGTTTATTTTAGCACACAAGGAATAGCCCATAATTGGGGGAAGCCAAGGCAGGGACCACAGAGGAACACGGCTTCCTGGCTTGCTTCCCCTCTCGTACCAAGCTACCTATCTTATACACTCCAGACCACCTGCCTGGGGATACATATCCACAGTGGGCTGGGCACTCCTCCATCAACTAGCAATCAAGCAACGGCCCCACAGACAGGTCCACATGTCCCCATGTCCAGTGGAAGCAATTCTCCAAATGAGGTTGTCTCTTCCTAGATATGTCAGGTTGGTAAGATTGGTCCTCACAGATCTTATCTTTTCCTGAGGCCCAGGGTTTACTGTATCAGCTGTAGATCCATGTAAACACTGGGGACCACCTGAGCATCTCATTAATATTCCTCAGCAACCCTTTGCGATATGACCCTAGAAGCCACCAAAATCACTATCTACAACTACTGCAAAGACACTTAAGTGTGACTCTCTTGAAAAGTCTCCCACACTCTCTCGGGTGTGTAGTTGTCTTTTCCTAAACACCTCTCTTTAACTACAACGTTTGTATCTAGTTTAAACTTTTTCTCTTAACAAATCCCAACTCTGTCACATGCTGGCTCATCCTGAAATTCCTTTCTATGGTAGAGTCAAGAATCACAGCTTCACCTAAGTAATGGTCTCTGTAGGTGTCAGCATGGAGCCACTGATACTTCCCCCTTTGGGACTATCACAATCTCACCAGCCAACCCTGGTCCTCCCACAGAACACCCATGCTGTGGTTTGAATGTGAAATGCCCCTTGCAAGCTCATATGTTTGAACATCTGGTATTCAGTTAGTACTTCCCAGTATTGCTTGGGAAGTATGGTTTGAATGAGACTGTCCCCCCATGGGCTCATATATTTAAATACTTGGTCCCCAGTTAGCAGAACTGTTTGGGAAGGATTAGAAGGTGTGGCTTTGTAGGAGGGTGTCATTTGGACTTTGAGGTTTCAAAAGCCCACATCATTCTTAGTTCTTTTTTTTTCTCTCTCTCTCTCTCCCTCCCTCCCTCCCTCTTTTTTTCCTCCCTCCCTCCCTCCCTCCATCCCCCCCTCATGTTCGTGGGTGGAAATGTGAGCTCTCAGCTACTGCTCCAATGCCATGCCTACCTGCCTGCTACCAAGCTCCCCACCGTGATGGTCATGGACTCATCCCTCTGAAATTGTGAACTCATTCTTCTATAAGTTTCCTTGGTCATGGCTTCTCTTCCCAGCAATAGAAAAAAGTAACTAAGACAGGAAGGAATCATTGGGAGATGGGGTGTCACTAGAGGAAACAGTTACTGGTGGAGGACCTTAAGGATTCACAGCTAGGCCCCACTTTCTGATTACTCTCTGCTCTTGTCCCGATCACTGCTCCCCAATGTCCCAACTGCACACTCCTGACATGGAGCCACCTGCCACCATGCTGTCCCCTCCATGGTCAACTACACTCCATTAAACTGAGTCAACATAAACTCTTCCTCCCTTAAGTTGCTTATCACCTGCTATCGTGTCACAGCAATGAGAAATAACTAACCCAGCCTGCTGGGGCCCACCTCCCCGCAGACTGGCTATAGTTCATTGATGCTAAGTTTTAAATGTTCACTTGCTACAGCCTATAATCATTCAGGAAGAGAGCCATAATAAGGGATTTTTTTTGCATCACATTGGCCTGCCACACATCTTTTGGAGACCATCTTGATTGCTTTAACTGGTAGGAAGATCCACTCAGAGTGTGGGTGGTACCACTTCAGGGTCTGGGTCTCCAAATTGTAAGAGAAAAGAAATCTAGGAACCAAGCATGTATGCAACCAAGGATGAGCATGCTGTCTCTCTGCTTTTGGCTGTGGAAGTGACATAGCTGGCTGCTTGTGCTCCTGCCTTGACTTCCCCACACTGATGGACTGTGACCTGGAACTGTATGCAAGCCAGATAAGCCCTATCTCCCATAAGCACCTCTTGGCTGGAGTGTTTTATCACAGCAACAGAAAGCAGGGCAGTTTGCAATGTGATTCTGCTCTGACTGAGCTCGGCTGGAGAGAAATTTAAGAAATATAGACTCTGAAGAAGACAAACCAAACAGGTGACCTAAGGAAACACAGAAACAGACATACATAATCTCAGAACTAGAAAAGGAAGAGGCAGGAGGATCAGGATTCTAAATTATCTTCAGCTACATATCTAGTTTGAGGCTAGCATGAGCTACATGCAACCCTGTCTCAAAAAAAAAAAAAAAACACTGAAAAGAGGTGGGGGTGCAGATGTAACTCAGTTGGTGGAGAGCTTGTCCAGCATGCACAATGTCCTGGGTTTGACCTCTGTGCTATATGAACCATGTGTGGTGGTGCACACCTGAAATCCCAGAACTTCGGACATGGAGGAGGGGGAGCCTTAAGTTCAAAAGCCATCCTTGGTAACACTGGGAGTTCTAGGCTAACACATGCTATGTGTGACCAATGAGGTGGTCCACTGGGTAAAGGCACTCTCCATCAAGTCTGAGGACATGAGTTTGACCCCTGGGACTCACAAGAGCTCAAAGTTTTGTCCTCTGGCCATCACACAAATGCCATGACATGTATCATGTGTAACCTGGCCCCCGCAATAAATAAATAAAATGTAAAAATGCCTTATCTCCAAAATATCTTTACCTTTTGTTACCATTTTATTTGTCTGTTTGTTTCGAATTTAACTGGATTGGAGGAAGTTGCTCAGTGCTGCCTGTGTGGAACTGTCCAGAGAGCAGAGAATGGCCGGCAGCTATGCAGACACTGACCTGTCAGTCAGCAGCCTTGTGCACACACTTGGCTTAGACACATACAGAATAACGACAACACCACAGTATCATGGGACTTTAAAGCTAAACAACAGAATAACTCTCGTCTAGTGGCCTCATTTTTATTAAGGAGGAAACCACTTCCCTTGCAAACAAACCCCTCTAAGAAATATGGTTTGATGGCGATAGCAGGGCCCCTGGAGCAGGCTGCCACCATCAGCTTCAGACAAGCACCTCTTGTACTGACCAGGTAACTCCAGAAAAGTAATGACAATGCTTTGAGCCTTGACTTTAAAGAAGGAAAAACCATTGCATCCAAAACACCATGTTGTACGGAGAATAAGCTGCAAGTTTAATCCATACTCGGATTCTGCATACTTTACAGAGGTCCTGGTACCGATAACTGACGACAATGTTAGGCAAAAGAAGAGTGAGTGTGTACCTACCTTCCCAGGTGAGGTAGGATGTAGCCATTCTAGCCAGTATAAACAAAGAGACCATGCTTGGCGTGAATCAAGAACCACAGAAGGATTTGTTATGATGTGTGCAACTTGGAAGTACTAGGAGCATCCACATTTTGTAGGAAAAGTAAAGGTGTGTGTGCACACACCTGTGTGTACACCTGCACAGGAGTATGTGCAGGTGCACACAGAGTCAAAGGTAAATATCAGGTGTCTTCCTGGACTGTTCTTACCATCGTGTTTGAATCAAAGTCTTTCGCTGAATCTAGAGAGCTTGCCAGTTTGGCTGGGATTACAGATACTCACTGCCATGTCTAAGTTTCTTTCCTCCATGGAATATAGGGGCTCAAACTCAGGCTGTCATGCTCACATGCAAACATTTAACCAACTGAGTCATCCTCAGTGCCCAATGTAGGGTCCTCAACAGAAACCTGCTTTGTGCCGAACATTCCAAGAAGGCATGTGGCCTATACTGGAGGAGACATCTATTTTCCAGTTGTTGGCACTGTAGGAAAACAATTGCTTCTTTCCCTGGAAAAAAACAACTTGGGCTTCTAGAGAAGCTGGAAACTCCTCATAAAGCCGTAAGTTTCCTATGGAGACTCCTCACCCCGAAAATCAGAATTGGGAAATTCTCCAAGATCCAGAACTTTCTGAGCAGCAACATGACATTGCAAGAGGAAATTTAGACCTCACCTCATGTGACAAGGCACAGTCAGAACTCAGCAGCAAGCGGCCATCCATGGCTGTGTATGGGGTACAGCCAGGACATAAATGAATGTGAACATACACATGAGTATGTTAGGAATTACCTGAAAAATATCTCATTGTGTGTAGCTGAATATTCTAAAACTGACACCCCAAATCTGAAACATGGCAGTTCCCAAGCATTGTGGATGAGGGGTGCCCTTCACAGCTTAGGATCAGCACATGTAATCAGTTTGGGTAGCAGAAATATGCAATATATAGTTGCCTCAGAAGCACAAGGATCTAAGTTCAGATTTACAGAACCTACAAAAAAAAGGCTGGGTGCAGTGGTATAAAAACCCCCGGTGCTGCAAGACAGGGTGGGGACAGGTAGATCTCTGGAAGATCATAGGATAGCTAGCCTGGCCTATGTAGTGAGGACCAGAACAATGAGAGACCCTGTCTGAAATGAAAGATGGAAGGCATTTGAGGGATGTCCTCGGACCCCTGTACATGTGCTATACACACATTCACTGACATGTGCACCCACACGAGTGTGTGAGCATACAAATGCGCAAATGTACACACACACACACACACACACACACACACACACACACACACAACCCAAGCAACAAAGCATCCCCTGAATGCTGATGCCCTAGATTGGATAACTCAGTCAAAGGACAGATTGATATCCCTGCTGTGATGTCATCAGGGAGAAGTGGGTGGAGTCTCACCTTCAGGACCCTGATTTGCTTCTTTCTGCTCAGCTGCTGAGTCGGGGGCCACCACTTTGGATGTATTGATGGATTCCAACAGGGAGACAAACTCTAGGAAGTTGGACTCATTTGGAATCTGTCCTTCCTTGGCTTCCAGGTCTGATTTGGATGTTGGGATGGGTTTCTCGCTGTCACTGACCACCTCCTTGGTACTCCGGCTCAAGAAGACATCAGTCCCACTGTCCACACTGAGCACACGGGCGTGCCTTTTCTCATGGCTGCTCTTACAAGATGCTGGGTCAAGGTTAGCCTGGTCTTCCACCCTGGGTGAGAGTGGTGTGGGTGAGGGGCCTGGTTCCCTGGCAAAACTTGGGGTGGGACTGCCATCCTTGGTACTACACTCCTGGTCCCCAGAGCCACAGGCGGAACAAAGATCAGATGGCATCCTTGCCATTCTCTCTGGGGCCCTTTCTCCGCCATTTCTTGCAGGACAAGAGATGTCTCTCCCTCCTCCATCCTCAGTTAACTCAAGGGTGATTAAAGGAACTCTGACCTGCTCAGCGTCTGCAGGACCCTCCACTCCTGTACCAGAAGGCTCTGTATCGGGCCTGACATTGGTTTCGTCAGAGCTGGTTACCTTCAGCTGCAGGGAACTCTCCAGGTCACTCATGGAGTTTGGGGTGCTGCTCATCGTGATAACTATCTTAATGGGCTCATGCAGACTCAGCGGTTCTCCAGGCTGGGAGGTATCAATGAGGGTTACTGCAACCTCGCCATCAGAGTCAACCACTTCCTGGTTCAAGGGCAGTTCCACCGGATCAGATGTTCGGGTCAGCTCCTCCTCCTCCGTGGGTTTGGCCAGGACTGTGTTGCACTGACAGCAGCTGCTGCTCGGGCTGTCTTGGGGTGATCTGCTCTGTGATTGTGTCCTGGTGGGGCCCTGGGGACAATTGGTGGTCTGTGGAATCAGAGCGGAGTGCTCACTGCCCCATGGCTGGAAGGAGATGTCAGTTTCTAGTAAGTCATACTGGGACAACGACAGGTGTGGCAACTTCTTCAAGGCTTCAGTGTTCACCAGGCCACTCTCAGACCTGTGGCGGGCTGGGCGCTGGCCAGTGGCTCCTGGCTCTTTCCCCTTTCTTCTTGTGAGGATCTCTGTGGCTATTGGCTTCACTGGTCCTGCTGGTCTGGGAGTGGGTTCCGGTGTATGCCCCTGAGAAGCAGGTAGGCTTTCCGACTTGATGCCAGGTGAGGTAGATGATACCACTGCCTCAGGTTGATCCTCTGACAGAACAACACCTGAAATGAATGACTAGGGGTGACTTGAGATAATATCTTCAATGACGTGTAATGCCTCCAAGTGAGACATTAAAACCAAAACCAGCAGCAAACTCTCAGGGGAGTGTGTGTGTGTGTGTGTGTGTGTGTGTGTGTGTGTGTACACGCTAGTGTGTGCACGTGTGCCTGTATGTGGAGGCCCAAGGTCAACCTCAGCTACCATCCTTTCAGACACTATCCATCTTGTTCTTTGAGTCCAGGTCTCTCACTGGTCTGAAACTTACCCACTGGGCTAGGCTGGCTGGCTAGTGAGCCTCAGGGATTCCCCTGTCTCCATCTCCTAAGTGCTGGTATGTAACCACACCCAACATTTTTATGTGGACTCTAGGGATCTGACTAGGGTCCTCGTGCTTACAAGGCAAGCCCTTTACCTATGAGTCATCCTAGCCCTGCGTGCTCATTTTCTAAGAATGCCCTTCCTGCTGTGGCTCCTGTGAGGTCTGCACTACCACAGGGGCTCACACCTTCATTTTTGCTGTGCTGAGGCCTCAAGAGGCAGAGCAGTGTGGCCTACATCACGTGCTCGGGACTTGTGGTTAGAAAGGGCTTGACTCTGCCTTCCATTACCTTTTCATCCTGAGCCAGCTACATGTCCCTGTAGACCAGCGGTTCTCAACCTTCCTAACTCTGGGGTCCTTTAATACAATTCCTCACGCTGGGGTGACCTTCAACCATAACATTATTTATTTCTTCATTACTGTCATTTTGCATCTGCTATGAATTGTAATGTAAATGTCTGCTATGCAGAACATCTGATAATGTGATCCCTGGAGATATAACGCAAAACCAAGGGGAGCAACAGTGGTCCAGTCTGTGGGGATCACCATGTGCTCCATATAACATTGTGAATATTACCCTGGCCTCCACCTGCTCCAGGTCAGCGACACTCTGTCCTCACTGTGATCTTCAAAAAGCCTTCAGTGTGGTCACATGTCCCATGGGAGCAGGCCCCTCCCAGAAAGACTCACAGTTCTGGCCTTTAACACCTTCACCTCGCAGCTGGAGAGGCAGGCGGCTCACAGTTAAGAGCACTTAAAACTCTTGTGAAGGGGCCCAGTTCCGTTCCCAGCACCCACATCAGGCAGCTCACAACTGCATGCAATTCCAGCTCCAGGGGGTCAGGCACCCTCCTCTGCCTCTGTGGACACCTGCACTCATCTGTGTGAACTTGTGTGCACACACAGAGATACACACATACACACGTGATTAGGAATAAATCTCCTTTAAAAGAATCATTTCCCCGAGGATGTAGCTGTGATTAAATATCACACAGCGACAACACTCTACCTTTGAGGTCTTCTACTGTTTCCTGTACTGGCAACTCCTGCAGAGACAGAAAAGAAGCGTCAGTGTAGGGGTCAGCTCACTGCGCATGCCACATGTCCCACACAGCTGGCCATCACCCTTCTCCCTCCAGCAGCCACTCAGTGTGTCTAACTGGGACACAGGGACAGGACTCTTCAGCATCTGTGCTTCTTAAGTGCTAATAAAGTGGACAAAAGAGGTGGGTTCTGAAACACGTCTAAGTGTAGACACCCTCCCAAGATGACGGCACTGTGACAGAAAGGGGGCGGATGCCAGTGGAGGAGAAGCCAACACCACAAGGAGTAAGGCATAGCTGTCATGAATGGAGAGCCATAACGCCACCCCGCAGGAGCAGTGGCCTGTCGGTATTCCAAGAAGCAAGGTCTAATGCAGAAAGCAGTGAGGAAGCAGATGGAATTTGTGACAAGCAGTGTGTGTGTGTGTGTGTGTGTGTGTGTGTGTGTGTGTATGTGTGTGTGTGTGTGCTAACAATCTGATGACTGAAGGAGAAATAAGGAGAGAGGAGTTTTGCACCGTGGCTCTCCAACAGGGAAGACAGCAGGAGAGACCACTGGTGTTCTGGGAACACATAGGAGGTGAAGTCTGATGGTCCCAAGTGCACCATGGGCCATTTCCACAGCCAACAGCTTGAGAAGCACAAGAAAACAGTGACTACAGAGGGGCCATTGCAACCACCCCCGCTGGATGCCCATGCTGGGAGGTGAACACCAAAACTACAGGAAGAGGTCACCAACCAACGGTGAGGAATGCTGGGAGTGCACGTTCCGCCCTTGGGAGCTGCAGCGGAGGGGTGGTGTGGGCAGGCTCCCTCGAGGTTCCTCCTTCTTTGTGCTGTGAATCTGCCTGTTGTTGCTGACCCAGGGCGAGAAAGAGCAGGGGTTACCAGAGAGCCAGGCTCTTCCATTTGCCTCCCAAACTGTTCCCCCAGGTCTATTTCTTAGACACAAATCCTATTCTTAATAGCACATAAACTTTAATTAGAAGAATCTCTCTGTCCCTCCTCTCCACCCTCTCTCTGAGCATATATGTGTGTGTTTGTACACATGTGTACTTGTGGAAGCCAGAGAGAGCTCAACATCAGGTGTAGCTCAGCTGCCATCTGCCTTGTTTGTTGAAACAATGTCTCTCATTGGTCTGGAACTCTCTGATTTGGCTAGGTCAGCAGCCAGCAAGCTATAGGGATCAGTCGCCTTCAGCATCCCCAACAACGGAATTATATGCCTATGTCACCATGACTGGTTTTTACACAGATTCTGTCGAACAAGCCCAGGTTCTCATGCATCCTCCCCAGCCTGGCAGACACACCTTCAAAAACAAACTATAAAGAAATGACACAAGCAGGGTGTCCTTAAGTGTCCTTGAAGCATCCATCTCAGAACCTCGCTGTGCAGTGTATGACCTTAATATCAGTGCACACGACTCCTTAAGATTCTTTGGCATACTCTGTAAATTTGAATAACAATATAAAATATTTAAGTAGAATATTTTGTATTGTTAAGCCTAAATCAAGTGAAGTTTAGATCATAGCGTAAAGCTATATTCGTAGCCATAAAATATCCAGATTGGAAAAATTAATTTTATTAAGTTTGACTTTAAATATAAGCAAAGTACCAGACCCATGTGTGCCTGGAATGTTTACCCTCATATGTAACTCATAAGTAGAAGGTAGAAGGCAGCTTTTATTTATCATCTATCTATCTATCTCTCTATCTCTCTATCTATCTATCTATCTATCTATCTATCTATCTATCTATCTATCTATTTTTAGCTCAAATTTCACGAAGGCTGGGTTGGCCTGGAACTCACTATGCATCTGTAGATGACGCTGAACTCCCAATCCTCCTGCCCCCACCTTCGAGCTCATATCGCTAAACAAGTTTTCTGTGTTGCTGAGACTTGAACCCAGGTTACTGTGCATGCTAGGCAAGTGCCTACAGAGTTAGATGCAGCCCGACCCCACACAGCATCATTTTAATCAAATCCTTCCCTATGGGAGCAGGTGCTCTTCTGGACAAAGTTACCCTGGGTGTTTGTGGCTGGCGGTGTGCTGACTGCTGGCCTCTCCCTCTGGCCTTCGCTTGCTTCTCTTTCGGGGAGATCGGTGCTGGACCACTTCTCCCTTATCAAACATGAGGTGCAGGCGGTAGCTGATGAGCTTGATGATTGCAAAGAAGATGGTGACCAAGCCGCAGTAGAACAGCGCAGTGAGGACATTTGGAGGAAAAGCCTGCAGGAGAGAGGACGGAGAGGACACTTATGCCCGCAGGCCTCTGCCTTGTGTTAAGCCTCAGTGCACAGTCCACGATTTACTAAGCATACGTCAGGCAAGATTTCAAGTGCTTGGGGACTTTTTCCCGCTGGGATCTCCAAGGCAGAAGAGCTGTATTATCTATTTATCTTTGGTCTCTTTTGCTTCCCAGGTCCTAATCAGTGACTTTGATGGCCAGTGTTTCTTCTAAACACTTTGATTTTTATGTATGTTATGTTTTATCACTGAAATTTGGATTACTAAGTATGTTACTATAAGTAGCAGGATTCAACCTCTTCATAATGTATGCACCAGTCCACGAGTCACTGTGCCTATCTGCATATCACATATTTACATTATGATTCATAACAGTAACAAAATTACAGTTCTGAAGTAGTAACAAAAATAAATTTATGCTTGGGGGGTCACCACAACATGAGGACCTGTATTAAGGGGTTGCAGCATTAGGAAGGTTGAGGACCACAGCTTTAAAGGGATTGGGCCCAGGCTGGATGGGGGCATGGCAGCAGGCAGCTCCCATGCTAGCAGACATATGCTGGTGGGGCTCCAAACCTTTTCAATTCTTGATGAAACAGGAAGTGGGACTGGGCTGCATAATCTCAAGGCCCACCCTCAGGGAGCCACTTCCTCCAGTGAGGCTCCAGAACCTTCCCAAACAGTGTCACAGTTGGGGAGCAGGAGCTCCAGCGGTGAGCCTGTGGTGACAGTTCATGTGCAAATCACAGCAAGCATATCCTAGTGAAAGGTCTTTTCAAGGATTCCCGGGGGTACCTCCTCAGTTCAGACACTCTCCTTCTTTCCTGGTCATTAAGTACTGAGGTATCATCTTTGTTTTTGAAACATGTTAGCAAGACAAAGAAGAGCAACAGAGTAAGTAAGTTTCAGCTTTCTTCTGTCTTCTTTCTTCCCCTAGTTTCTCATATGTGCTTATGGTATGTGTGTGACGGCATGTGTGTTTGGCATGCATGTTGGCATGTGTGTGGGAATGTATGAACACAGGTGAATGTGCACATTCAGACCTGAGGCTAAGATCGGGAATCATCCTCCATTACTCCTCCACCTTATTCACCCAGGCAGGGTCTCTCAATCGAACCCAGAGCTCACAGGCGTGGCTAGTCTCACTTAGCCAGCTTGCTCTGGGGATCTCCTGTCTGCTTTCTCAGGCTGGAATTACAGGTGGGCTGCCACACCGACCCAACGTCCTAGGAGGGTCCTGAGGATTCCCGTCATCACATTTGCTCTTCAGGTTTCTTAACTGCAGAGCCATGTCCCTGTATTCCATTTGCCCTTTCTTTTGAGACGATAGAAACTTGGGAGGAAAACTGACATAGACACCTCATGCAAGATAAATCTATATGTCAGAGAATAAAAGGGCCAGAAGGTTCTTAATAGCCTTCAAAGACCAAAAGGTCTACATTTCTTTTCTATATTTAAGACAAATCAATAGCCATAAATAGTATAAAGTCATTGTTGTTTGATCTAATGGTCTATAATTTGTTTTGTCATGGGGAGGGATGAGGGGAAACTGGAGGTGATTATAATGCTGGGGGGTGGAAGCAGAAGGAGGAGGAGAGTGGGACTGAAGAAAGGATCGTGAAGGGCTGAGGTGAGAAACTGAGCATCTCAGACACCATAGGCCTGAGAACTTTAATGCTAGCTGCTGGCACTCGCCTCGTGTTAGCTGAGCATTCCAGTGCTGGAGGCTCATTCAGGAGCTGCTAGACTAGCAGGTACTCACTGCTTTGAGAAGCTGAAGATGATCTGAGCTGCTGGGATCCTGGGACCATAGGGGGTGAAAGCCTAGAACAAGGTTCTGGCTGCTAAAGCCCAGAGTAATAGGTTGCTGATCTCACAGCTTGATCTGTGAGCTTCTGGGTCTCCCAGACCAACCCGTGGGGACCCAGGATCCCCAGTGACCAAATTGTATCTCCTTGTATACCGAGTCCCTATCCAGAGTAGAAGAGCCGTGGGAAGATAACTGCTTACAGCTGAACTTCAAAAGGAATGCTGTTGGGAATGGATGAAGGTGCCTGCCACCTGAGCACAAGGACCGGAGTGTAGGTCCTAGTGTCCACGGAAGAAGCATGTGTGGCAGCATATGTTCGCACTCCCTGGGGGGGGGGATTCCTGGAACTCACTAGCCACCCAGCCTAGTTGAACTGGGGGAACTCCAGGTTCAGAAAGAGAGACCTTGTCTCAAAAACCAAGGTGGAGAGCAACCGAAGAAGTCGTCTCCCCCATGGCAAAAGTGAGTCTCTACACGTTCATGGGCACATGCACACGTCATACAGACACACAAATGTTTTTATGAAGTCAACGGTAGCAAATAGCACACGGCTCTAGGAAGCAAAGGGAAGAGAACCCTCACTTCAGCAGAAGAAAACCAGCCGAGAAAGGCTGGACGAGGAACAGAGGTGCAAAGTCAGCCTTTTGTAACTACCGTTGAGATAAAGTGTAAGACAGGATACCATAGCCACAGAGTTTGGAACTGATGGCAGTGAAATCTGTATAGTTTTCAATGCACCCATTACCAAAAAGGAAATACATACTTCACAATGCAGAAACCTAGCAAACTCCACCCTGACCACGGTCAACAGCAACATTTACGGTAGTGGAGGTGGGAGAATATGTCATGACCCCTGGTATGCTGCACAAAGATACGCCCTTTCACCTATCGCCTTCCCAAAACTCCCAGTCACACATGTAACCCCCAGAAAACCAAGAAACACAAATTAAGAAACATTCTACGTAATCCCAGCACTCGGGAGGCAGAGGCAGGCGGATCTCTGTGAGTTCGAGGCTGGGCTGGACCAATAGCCTCCAAAACAATACAGAGAAACCCTGTCTCGAAAAACCAAAAAAAAAAAAAAAAAGAAAAAGAAAAAGAAACATTCTACGAAACACCTTTAAACACTACAAAAAGCAAAAGCGTTGAGGTCCTTCTGCAGTAAAGGTTAATCAAGGACCTAGAAGCCTTGCAAGATCCTTGAATGAATCTTAGACCCAGAAAAAGCAACGCCCTACTACACAGCATTGTTTCAGCCACGCTCTTCATATGTGAGGATGCTGTGGGTGACTGTCACTGATCTTAGGATACATAGTGCTGTTGCTGTGCAGGCAGCATCTTGTGGTCCATCTCTTATTGTGAAGCAGTATAACATATTTTTAAGATGTGTAAACACATTAAGTAAGCAGTGAAGTGGGTATGTGAAACTTGTGATGGTAGATCTTGACTGTCAACATCACGGGATCTAGAATCGTTGGGAAGGCAAGCCTCTGGGCGTGTCTGTAAGGGGCTTTCTAGCCTGGGCTAACTGGGGCGGAGAACTCACTGAATGTGGACGGCACCACCCATGGGTCAGGGTCCCAAACTGAATAAAAAGTGAGCTCCAGCGTTCATCTCTCTCTGCTTCCAAACTGAGGACATAATGTGACCAGCCGCCTCACCCTCCTGCCACCAAGCCCTTCCTGCCATGGTGGAATGCACCCTTGAACTGTGAGCCTGAGTGACCAACCCTTCTTTAAGCGGCTTTTCTCAGGCACGTTGCCACAGCAACAAGGATGGGGATCACTACATATGGTAAAATGTAAGGGCTTGGTTATCCAGTAAAGATGGCATAATACCCTTTGTACAGGTCTTAAAACATTTCTGAAGTTGGTTTTTTTTTCAAACTAGCAGCCAGAAGCCAGGGGTGTTGGTACACACCTGCCATCACAGCACTCAGGAGGTGGAGACAGGAGGTTCAGAAGCTCAAGGCCAGCCTGGGCTACATGAGACTCTGTCTCAAAACACAAAAACAAAAAAACAGTAGCAATAACAACAAAAACCCTTGGGGTTAGAAACTAATTCATGTCCTACCTCAAGCTTATATTTTTTAAGTGCATTTTTTTTTTTTGCACTGAGAGTTGAATTCAAGCTCCTGGTGGCTAAAAAGTTTTATAAAATCTAGCCCAGCCAGGGTCTCCCAACATGTCCCATCACCTTCCCTGTGACATACTATTCTACCTCTTTACTTCCAGCAGTAGGCAAGCACCTGACCTACTCACCATGGAGTCCTTCCCTGGGCTGGGAGGGCCCCTGACCTCATAGCTCATCTGTCCCTTCCTCTGCTTTCAGATTATATCCAAAAGACCAGCTTTCCAGACACATCTTACCACCACCACTCTCTGCAAGGGCCTCCACATTAAAAAAAACTAAAGTCTATCTAATCCCAGTGCTCAGGAGGCATAAGCAGGGGGATCTCTGTGAGTTTGAGGCCAGCCTGGACTACAGAGTGAGTTCTAGGACAGGTTCTCCAAAGCTACAGAGAAACCCTGTCTTGAAAACCGAAACAAACAAACAAAACAAAAACAAAAAAACCTAAGGTCTAGGTAGGTCCAACATCAATGATAAGCTGGTAAGCCCAGGTCCAAGCCAGACTGATAAGACAAGATTTCACATGTACTGTCTCATTGAATTCTACTACATCCACAGACTGGTTCTAGTGGCCTGTAAGATAGCTCAGTGAGTAAAGGCACCTGCTGATGACCTCATTTTGATCCACTGAGCCGTATTGTGGTATCCCTGCAAATTGTCCTCTGACCTCTCTGCATGCTTGCAAGCATACACACCACACCACACACACACACACCACATCTGCCACATATATACACACACCACTCACACACAACAAACCCCCCACATATACACACACACATACCACACACATACACACGCACACACACCACATGCACCTCAACCTCTCCACACACATACACACCACATACTCACTACCACACATATATCACCCCCACACATCAGACATACAGCATACCACACACACACCACCACCACACATACATTACAGATACCACACACACCACACACATCACACACATACCACACCAGACCACATATACACATACCACACACACATCATACACATAGATACCACATACCCACCTCACACACACACACCACATACATCACACACACAGAGATATATATACACACACCACACACATACATCATACACACAGATGACACATACACAAATAAATAAAATGCAAAGATAAAACCCTGGTTGCATTCTTCCTCTTGTTTGTGAAAATGAGAAATCAGAGTAAGTTGACTTCTCTCAAGGTCCCAGAACTGGGAGAAGCTGGAACCAGAATTCAACCGAGGCAGTCTGCTTTCAGAATCACAGCTCTGGAGAAACTGCCAGAAAAGAGCCAGAGTTTAGGGATGCCAAACCACCAGGCATCTCAAATGTCAGACTCTGAACCTGTCAGCCATGCCAACTCATTGAAGATATGTGGAGGAGAACGTGATCACGTGCTGTTTTAGGGATGAAGCCCTTCACAGACACACCAGAACTGATTCCTAGTTGAAGTTAATGGTGGGCAGCTTTTAAAGGAGGGTTCATCATGGCCTCAACCACCACCTATGTGTTTAGTTGACCTACGAAGGTCACCTATGTAATCTGTCGACAAGCATTCGCTAGCACCCTGTTGGTGTTCATTCCAGAGGAGGAGATGCCACACTGCTGTGACATATAGTATATGATATTTTCCCACTCATGTTCCCCCACTCCCTCCCCAGACTTCTATATTACACCAAGGGGCAGAAATTGCAAAGTAATTGATGGTAGACTCTGCCTTCCTAAAGCAAAACAGGAAGAGGATAGAGGAGAAAAAAATGACAAACAACTGAAATCAGGTCACCTGGGAAAACTCACATTGCCTTTTCATTGTGACTGTGCACATCGTGTTATAGCAGATACCATCCTGAGCCAGGAGGCCTAGGGTTGGGTACCCACAAGCCAGTCTCAACAGTTCCCACCAGCAGTGTCTGACTCATCCAGGCAGACCGCATCAATTCTTAATGAGCACACAGTCCCTGAAGTCCCAAGTACTTCTTTCCCGTGACTCCCTGGTTTCCTGCAGGATTGTTGTTCCAAATCCCTCACATCCTTCGGTCCCTACTTCTCAAAAGTCACTGACCCCTTTCCAGTCCCAGGTCTAGTCTGTGGCTCCCCATCCTTTCCTTTTCTTTCCCCCGTAACCTCTTTTTGTTCTTTCTGCCTCATCCCCTTCCTTCCTTCCTTCCTTCCTTCCTTCCTTCCTTCCTTCCTTCCTTCCTTCCTTCCTTCCTTCCTTCCTTCCTTCCTTCCTTCTCTCTCCCTTCCTCCTCTTTTCCTCTTGTTAATTTTCCTTCCCTCCTTTTCTTCCTCCTCCCTATTCCCTTCCTGTTTTTTCTCCTCCCCTCCTCCTGCCCCCATCCGCCCTAAGCTGGGGACTCACCAGGTGCAGGGCCAGTGGCAGCAGCAGCAGGAACAGCCACAGGTAGAGGTGGCAGCTGTTGGTGAATTTGCTATGCTCGGGGTCGTGGTACCAGCCCCCTGTGAGCGCGGCCCACACGCCCTGCCGGAGCAGCTGTAACACCTGGGACGCCATGCCCGCAGAGTCGGTCAGGGACCGTGTGTGCCCTGGGGCTCAGCACCCTGGGGCTCAGTACAATGATGTGCACAGGTGTGCTCCAGTCCTGCCCCCGCCCCCGCCCAACCCGCGACAGAAGCTGGACAGCGCAGACCGGTACAGCGCGGTGCTAGAGCCGGCCGGTGTTGCCGGGCAGGTGCGCGCCATGTCCGAGGGAAGGAGGATTTTCCCATCATGCTCCGCGACGGCTGCTCAAGGATGCTCCCTCGGCTCCGCCCTGTGCCCACCCCAGAAGGAGCTCGATCCCTCCCTCTCCTTTCTTGGTGGCCGCCTTTCTCGCTGAGTCTCCCAGGAGTGAGTTTGCAAGGTGTGAGAACCAGGAATGTTCCCGTGTGAGAGCCACAGATGGGAAACTCTTTGACTTTTGTTTTTGTTTTGTCACTTGAACCAAAAGGTTTGTCTAATCTCAAGGCCCAGGCTTGCAGCACTCAAAGCAATTTCCTCTGAGCCCCACCTGCGGGGTTTTGGTCCCTGTGACCTTGGCTGACTACAGACAAGTTTTACACTCGACCTGATCTGCTTGCTTCCTTCCGCTGACTGCATTTCCACTCTGACTTTTTCTCTTCCATCTCCAGTTACCCAACCGGCACACAGAGACGACAACTGTCGTTGTGAAATAATCTTTGATGCTTCAATTAGTCACTGGTGTTTTTATTTTACATCGCTTCATTTTATTCGTGAGGCAGGGTCTCCTCACTCTGTAGACTGAATTGGCTTGGAATGAATTGTGTGGCTCGGACTGACTTGAAAATTCATGGCAATCCTCCAGAGTACTGAGACTGCAGGCGCGAGCAACTGCATCTAGATCTCCATCTTTTTATATATTCCCTGAGCATAATACGGGATGGCAACCTACTAGTTCAACTAGGAGAAGAAAAGGAGAAAAGCAGATTTTTATGTGTGGCGCTAGGTGGCGCTAGATCGCTGCTATAATACAGGAAAGCCCATTCTTGAGGTATTGCTAAACAGGCAAGGATTAATAAACGGCAAATTTGATATAGCAGACAACTTGTCCGCTAAATGACGGCTCTAATTTTCACTTAAGTTTGTTCACGTCTCACATAGGTCAGCGTGTATTCTGTGTGTCATGTGGGGGATATTATTGTTTATTTTAGGTCTTGTATTTTCTTTCTTAATTTTCTATACAATGAGGGCCCCTGAAACTCAAGAGAGAAACAAAGGAAGTCCTGAGTTTCAATTGAATACGTTATAAAGAAGTAGGAAAAAGACTTTAAATAGTAAATAATATGCAGTGACCCTCAACTCCAAATGAAATTAAAAACCAAACAAAAACTAGCTTTCAAATTAAATCTTAGGAAACTGGCGTCTGCAGTTATAGAGAAAATAGTTGATGGACTCATTGTCCCCAAAGACAAAGAAAATACAAATAAAGCAAGTAAAACCAGCTGTCCCAGACTCCTGAAATGTAATGAAGCCACAGACCAAATGGAAAATCATCTATTACAAAATAATTAATCAAAGCAGCACAATGGCTGTCTTCCCCATCCCAGGGCCAGTGTCGTATGAAAGGATGCAGAGGACCATCATCAACACCGTGAACCACACAGAGGTGCACATGGCTCTGTTAGGGAAGCTGCTAAATAGGAGGATGCAAGACAAGCATGAACACAGTGTGTATGTTGCTCCCTTTGTCCTGACAGCTGTCTAAAAGGACAACTGCATAATGTAAAATCCTAAATCTGTGATCAGTGAAATGTCTCAGTGGCTTAAAGCACTTTCAGCTTCTGCAGAGTGCCAGAGTTTGGGCTCTGTAGGTTCTACTCCAGGGGATCTGACACCCTCTTCTGACCCGCAAGAGCACTGGGCATGGACTCATAATTACAGTCAGGACACCCATACACATAAGGTAAGAGTAAATAAGTCTTTTTTTTTTAAGTTACTTCTGAAGTTTTTAAGTCTTCAGTTACTAGGTACTTATCCACAGCCACTGAATCTGTACTCTGAGGAAGTGTGTGTGTGTGTGTGTGTGTGTGTGTGTGTGTGTGTGTATGAATATCTGTGTCTGTTAGTTGCTCCTGTTTGGCAAATTATACAGAGAAGAAATAATTAGTTTCAAAGCAAAATACCAGACCCTTGAATGACCTCAGAGTGCATAAGCTGATTCCATAGTGTGAGTACCCCTCTCACACGGAAAGTGACTACAATGCAAATGCTCTCATGTCTATTGTGTTGGGTTACCAGAGTGTGTGGGATCCCTTTGTAATGACAACTAAGCCCTGTTCAGTGATTACATGAAGCAGTGAGAATAAAGCAGACTTTGAAATCAAGAAGTAAGAAAAGACAACAAGCCTAAGGAAAGCAGTTGGGAGGTTTTAAGGAGTGTGGATTGACACACCAGAGGAGACCCCCTCAGAAATAGAAAGTAAACACACAGGTCAAGTGTGCTCTACGAGGTGCTGGGGCTGTAAAATAAGTGAATCAATACCTAACCTCAGCAGAGATAGGATAAGCCTTGAATGCACTGGGATGGGGGTGGGGTAACACAAACGGGAAAAAGACACAGAAAGAAGACACAAGAAAGATAGAAAAAGATTAGAGATATGTAATTAAATGCAAGGACAACGCTATTCTTCGGAAGTATCTTGAAGACATGTTAGCTGGAATCCCTAAAGTGGAAGTGTGGGATTGGAGAGACGGCCCAGCAGCTGAGAACACTTCCTGTTCTTTCAGAGGATCTGAGTTCAGTTTCCAGTACCCACATGCTGACTCAACAGTCTCCAACTCCAACTCCAGGGGGTTTGGCCTCTGAGAGCACTGTACACACATGCACACACACGAATACAGAAAAATAAATATTTTAGAAGGAAAATGCAGCAAACAAGTGTAAGCAGTGGTTACACGTCTAGCCTATGTCACTATTTTCCCAGTATCCCACACCCCTGATGCTTTCAGAATAATAAAAGTAGCAATAGCATCCAGAAAAAAAATCAAGAAGGCTATATCATAAAGCTGACCGCCACAAATATGGCCACCACCAAACTGACCACCACGAAATTGATTGGCATAGCGTTGACCCACCTTGGCTTTGGGCCTATAATGTTCTTATAGGAAAAGCAGTGAATATTGAGGCCAGAGGCAAACAGCTACTGGTATAGATTCACACTGGGTTACACCAGGTGTGCTCCTGTGTATTACAAGGGCTGGCAAGGTTAACTAGGCTTACTGGAGTGTTCTGAAGAAATGCTAGGTATTAGTTTGAAGATGGAGAAAAAGATGGCTTCATGGATAAGCTTTGCATCATTGGCAAGTGCTGCATGTAGAAAACAGTGCTTGGATTTTGAGTATTTCTCTCAGAGCCTCAAAGGGTTTTTCATTTGTTCTCATTAATCCCTATGGTCAACATGTGCTTGAGGGAGGGCATGTTGATAGCCTCCTCTTGTTTGTTGAGACATGTTTTTGTGTAGCCCCGGCTGGCCTCAAACTATCTATTAGCCAAGGATGGCCCTGAACTGCTGATCTCCCTTCTTCTGCCTGTTGAGTGCTAGGATTACAGACGTGAGCTGCCATGCCTGGCCTTTGCAGTGCTGGGGATCAAACCATGGCTTCCCAAAGTTAGCAGAGTACGTATTCCACCAACTGAGTCACGTGCCCGGCTCTTCCTCCTGTGTCTACAGATAGATTTAGAACACAAGTCAAAGTTCTCTAAAAAGATCTGTGGTATAGTCTGACTCTTGTTGCATCTAGTCTAGTTGAAGGAATCCACTCTCACCTCAAAGATCTTATATTTGGGGAAACCCTCAATTTTACCAAGTGAGTGATAGAAACAGGCCAGACAATAAGTATGAGCAAGCAAAACAGGGAAATAGTCCAGTTTTAGGACCTTGTAAAGAATCAGTCATTATGCTTGAAAACAGTCAAGGACATTATAAATAAAATTCAATAAAAATTAAAGGAGCAGCTGGCAGGTGGGCAGACTGGTGTCAGAGTTGAGCCCAAGGTTATGAGCACTGTGGTTCTGCACCTGAAGGGATATCAGCAAGGGTGGAAGGATGGCCTTGGCTTTCTGGATGCCTTCAGCCTTTCACACTGTAGCAGTTTAATGAAGTGGTCCATTGTTCCTTTCCCCAGCCTTGTAGTAATCTGTAACTACAAGGCTCTCTATCTGCAGGGCTGCAACTTGGCCCCAGGGATTAAAGTAACAGAAATCTTACAATTCACGATGATTCTGTCTCAGGCAGAGCGCCAGCTGAAACCGAGAATAAACAGTAACCTGATCCACAGTCTGCACTCAGCAATAGATGCCAGTAACTAGCTGCTGTTACTGTTATTTTTATTCGTTTAACTCCACATCTTTAAACATGTGAGAATGGGGGGGGTGGCAAGAGCATAGCTAAATCACAGTCTCTCAAGGCAGTAGAAAAGAGGCATGCTGCTTCACAATTAGCTTCTGAGAAACCGAGGCCTCCAGAAAACAGCAGCATCAGCACCACCTTATGGTGCTGTTTCTTTCGCTGGGCACGTGCTCGAGTCTTGCCTTCTGCATGAGGCCACTCTCCTCTGTCTGCACTTTTGAAGGCCACTGGCTCCTGTTTACCTCCTCTAATTATTGTTGAGCCATCATTCCCTGATGCCTTTCCTATGTTTAATCTAGGCATGGTAGCAAATGTCCGGAGAATGGAGGCAGAAAGATCAGGAGTTCAAGGCCAGTTGTGACTACATGATGAGTTTGTGGCTAGCCTGAGATGATTGAGAAAAGCAGAGGGGAGCGGAGGGGAGGGGAGGGGAGGGGAGGGGAGGGGAGGGGAGGGGAGGGGAAGGGAATAGGTTTAATTTGGTGCTGTGAATATATTTCAGTAGTGAAGAGTCAGCCCAGAGTGAACAAGACCCTATGTTCAGTTCCCAGCACACAAATACATTACTAAATACTACATTCTTGTGCATAAATAAGTTCTAATCCATGATATATTCATTTGTCCTGTTTGTCTTTCATGTAGTCTTGGTAAAATACAAGTTCTGCGATGTCTGGCACTTTGCCTCATCACCTGTCCCATCTGAAGCACCTAGAGAGTGCTGTGGCCCTGTGTGGTAGTCAGCCATGTCCTCCCATCTGCCGGTCTTCTCTGTTACAAACAATGTTAGTGTATTTGCTTGGTTTTAAGTGTAGCATTGTCTACAGTAAATAAGAATGCTGATGACAAAGGGATGCATGTTCTAATTAGACTCCAGATACACAATTTATTTTTTGAACAAAAGTCTCATGAGAGATGCATCAGTGGTTAAGGGCAGCTCTTGTAGAGGACCTGGGTTAGATGCCTAGCACCCACCGGGTCCCTGGCAATCATCTATAACTCCAGTGCCAGGGGATTTAACACTCTTCACCTCTGAGGGCAGCAGGCACACAAGTAGTGAGCAGATACATGCAGGCAAAAAATATTCACATAAAATTAAAAAATATTCATTCACATAAAATTAAAACATATTCATACACATAAAATTAAAACATATTTATACACATACAATATTCATAAAATTAAAATTAAAGCACCATGGCTTATCTTATTTGTTCAATGCTAGGCATTGGATATAGGGCCTTGTGCATATCAGAGAAGCACTGTATCACCGAGGGACATCTCCAGCTCTTAGCAAAATGGTTTTAGATGTAATGTACCCTAGGGCCTTGGAAGTCCCCTTCCCAACTTTTCATCTTAACCATCTTGGGAATAGTTTTAATTTAGTTGGAAGAATAAAAATAATCTTTGATTCAGGAACATGTACAAAGTATAAGCAAGAAAACACACAGAAAGAAATATGCTGTGGATTTCCTGTTCTAATAAATAATAGGGTCTACCCTAACCAAAACTAACAGGAAAATAATGCCACCATTTCTTAGCACAGATCAAGGCTGTGGCTTGTAAAACTCAGTGAATGTTTGAAACAGCCGCATGGGAAACACTGCTGCTCCACTGTGTTGCAGAGGAAGAAATCAAGGGGCAAAGATGGGGTTTTCTACAGCACTTACTGACCAAGCCAGGAGCAAAGATGGGGTTTTCTACAGCACTTACTGACAAAGCCAGGAGCAAAGATGGGGTTTTCTACAGCACTTACTGACAAAGCCAGGACTGGATCTGCTATCAGACCACTGTTCACCACAGGACTGTGTCCCTGCTCATGATGGGTCATACTAAATTATAGCATAGAGGTGAAACACCACACACACACACACACACTCACACACACACTCACACACACACTCACACACACACACACACACACACACACACTCACACACGCGCGCACTGGGTCTCAGGCTGTCCACATATTCAGAAATAAGCTCAAGATGGACTGTTTCTGGCAGTTACATAGAAGTTAGCATTCCTCAGGAACCTGTGAAACAGGTTTTCAGTCCCCAAGAAGGAGTCATGTCCCTGACCTCTGGCAGAAGGGACATATGGCTCTCCAACTGACATATACCTGTGGCATCCATCAGTGTATCAAAACCCTTGCTGTTCTCCAGGCTCCCTCAGTATCACAAGTACCTGTTATACACAGCAAAGTCTATACTTGCATCCTAGACCTCACCTCCTTGTCCGCACTCCTCTCCTAGCTACTAGTCCACTGTATAATTTTCTCTCCCTTCTGCCCCTCCCTCTCTTGATGTCCTCCTCTCTCTCTACTTCCTTCTATACTTTCTCTCTGGCTCTCTCTCTCTCTCTCTCTCTCTCTCTCTCTCTCTCTCTCACACACACACACACACACACACACACACACATACACTATGTTCTAGTCTCTGTCTCTTGCTATCTTGATATCTTCACCATTCTCTTTCCACTTCCCTGTGTCCTGTCTGCTTTATTTTTTCTCTGCTCTGGATTCTTCCAGATGCCTCTGGATATTTCTTGTTCACAAAACCAACTTCCTCCTAATAATGTAGAGGCCATGTCAACAGCCCCCTGGCATACATCACACACACACACACACACACACACACACACACACACACACACACACACATACACCCTACAGCTCCCAGATGGGCTCCAAGGTGGGCAATGCCAGCTGGTGTTTCTGAGTTTTAAAGCTGTCTGTCAACATTACTTTCCTCCTGAAGTTAGCCACAGGACCCAGCAAAGGCAATCCCACTGAACTGTCACCTTCCTGCAACTCTGTTTTCTGAATAGAAAAATAAAAGGAAAAATGAGTGTTGTACATAAGCAAACATTTTGCTATCCATATCAATTTTTTCAGGGTAAAATTACATTTGGGGTATGCTTGTATACACATGCAAACATGCGCCCATACGTCATGTACGCATGCGGAGGTCTGAGGACAACATGAGGGGTCAGTTTTCTCTGCCACCATTTAGACCCCGTGGATTAAACATGAGCCATTATGCTGAGCCATCTTACTGGCCCATTTTTCCAGATTTTAAAACACTCCCTCCTGCCCCTAGGTTTTGATGAAATACTTTTCTTATTCCTTGGCCCTCTCTGGCTTCTAGTCTCTCCTGGAATTCAAACACAGACTCAGTCATAAAGTTGCCTCCCCTCTGGTTTCCTTCCTCAGCTCTTTCCAGGCAAGCATCTGTCCCTGCCACCGAGTGGCATTAGAGCTGGCAACAGCAGGTTTCCAGGCTGCTCCTGTTTGCATTCTCTTTCCATCACCGACAAGGGCTCACTCACATTCCCTCTGTCCCATTAGAAACTCTTGTTTTGAGGGTGGTCAGCTCTCTTGGAATCTCAGTGCTGACTGTCCTGTGACTAGGAACCCAGGTCAGGCCAACATATATATGACGCTGCTTGTCACTGACACCTGGTCTTTTACTGCTTTACAACCTCCTATGACCCTCAAGACCTGTGTTTATCTTTAGAGTTATTTCCTCATGGCTTTAAATGTTGACCCTCTCAGATCTCAAAGTCAAGGATAATTCATTTTCAGTCTCCATTTCTTCACCCCTTCCATTCTTGGTGTGTGGTTTTGAGACAGGGTGTCTCATTGCCACCTCTACTATCCTGGAACTCATGTTTCTCTTGCCCCCACCTCCCAAGTGCTGGGATTGTAGGTGTGCCTCCATGACCAGGTCTTCACTTGTTTGTTTGGTTTCTTTCCCCCATACACCCATTCCACACCACAGGAACAGATTTAAGTTTTTTCTTTTTTAGTATTTCATGCCTGTGTGCCTAAGTATATGCCACCATGTGCATGCAGTACCTGCAGAGGACATAAGAGGGCATCAGATCCTTAGAGCTGGAGTTGCAAGGCAGTTGCAAGTGAGTGTTGGAAACAACTCACATTCTCTGGAAGAGCAGCCAGCAATCTTAACACTGAACCATCCTCCAACCCCACAGAAGTTTCCTTTTTAGAGGTTAAGCTCTCCCTTCACTGGCAACACTCCCTCCTCTTCCTCTGTAGGACCCTGGTTCTTCTCTGAGTGAGAGTCGATGACAGAGAAGCTCTTCACTGTAGTGACTCATGGAGTTCCTACCAGACAAGAGACTGCAGTGGAAGTAAGCTGTGGAGGGGGGTAAAGTCACTTCTCACAAGTCTCCATGCAAGCCTTTGCCATCAGACTCCTATCCTGGTGATTTTGTTTCATCCTTGTGCCAATACAGTTTCCACAACCTTTTCTCTCAGGGTGCTTCACGTTAAACTTAATCACCTGAGTCTTGACTTAGTTGCTTGTAGGTGAAAATCCACACTCCTTGTTGGAGGCAGAAGGCAACTGCAGTGTAAATATTAGAAACGCAGAGAAGTTAGGGCTGAAGAGATGACTCAGTGGGTAAGAGCACCTGTTGCAAAAGCATGAAGACTTGAGTTTGGATTCCCAGGACACAGATAAAAAGCCCGGTGTAGCCATCTCTGTGACACGAGTGTATTATAGGGAGATGAGAGCATCCCTGGGGCTTGCTGACTGCTGACCTAGCTCCAGGTTCAGGGAGAGATTTTATCTTACAGGCATAGGACAGAGAAAGGTGATATCAGATGCCCTCTTCCATTCTCCACACACAGCACACTAAAAACTATTACATAAAATAATATACATAAAAATAATAGAAAGCATGTTTGTGAAGGGGGTCCTGGCAGACATCTCCTTGCTCTGTTAAGAAATGCCGAGCTTGGCTGCTGGCACACACACTCCTAATCCCAGCAGTGTTCAGGAGGCTGAGGCTGGAGCATTGCTGTGAGTCCCAGGCCAACCTGGGTTCTAAAGTGTGTTCAAGGCCAGCGGGGGCTACATGAGAAAACCCTGCCTCCAAAAGAAAATATTAATATTGGTGCCAAACACTACTTGAGAAGTGCTATGCCATAAGCACTCCAGGCTCTTCACAGTCACCCTATGAGGAAAGCACCAACCACTGCCGTTAACATTTTGCCGATGAGCAGATTCAGACACTGAAGAGGAAGTAGAAACAAAGCAAATGGCCTTAGACGCTTTAGCATGAAGGCCATCCTTCCCCGTCACTGGTCAAAACACCCAGGCTTAGCACATTCTGCCCATTTCCTGGGATGATTTTGTGACTGTATTCTCCATTTGGTTTAAGCTTCCTCAGTTGCATGCAGCACCCTGGCAACCTGAAGCTCACAGGGGCCAGCAAGGGAGCTGAATGAAAAAGGAGATGGAAAGGAAAAGGCATGATTAGGTATGGTGGAGGAGAAAGCTTGTTACAGATATGTGGGAGGGCAGAGGCAGAGAGAGACGTGTGGGAGGGGCCAGGTGCACATGACCAGCTGAGCTGGGCCACGTGGGAGAAGGGAAGGAAATGGAGACACAGGGAACCAGGTGCAGCCAACGGGCAAAGTGTGGGTAACCAAAATGTCTGGATTATATAGGGAAGAGTAGCTCAGGTACCCAGGGCTGGAGAGTTCAGGGTAGGAGGTGGGGGTAGGCAAGCGAGGAGGACCCTGTAACAGGTAAGCAGTGAGAACAACGGGACAACTTGGCAGCCAGTGTCCCCCTTGACTTGTGAAAGGCACCTCAGCCGCCATGAGTCGAGGTTTTGAAATGTAACTATAGCCTACATCAGAGCTGGTAGGTGCACCGGACTACTCGTGACCCGTGGATCCCTGGCATCGCAGAGCTGCAGGCACAGGAACTATCAGCTTTCTGGATTATGAGACTGTGGCTCGCCTCACTCGGGCATCTGGAGACTTTCCATATCTGCAGCCTGGTGAGACCAAGTACTCCTGGTCCAGAGATGAGCGTCTGTTGCTGGGATGACCTGCCACTTTCTATCAGGAGCGCAAGGATGCAATTCTCTTCATCTTCCTCTTTTCACAGTGGAGTCCAACCATCCTCCTGCACTAACATATCTAACTTTCCGGAAGTCTAAGAGGTCCTAAGCTTGCTCCGCCCTCCGGGCCACGTGAACGCGGCATTCCTAAACCCCGGAGGGCTGGCCGGACGCTGGAGGGCGGGCTCAGAATAGGACACAAATGGACCGGAAAAGAATGACAGTTTGGGGGCGGGGCCAGAATGGACCTAGAAAGCAGGTGCGGGACCTTTAGGGCGGTTGAGGGGACCGAGAGACCTAGAAGACCGGTGGGACCACTTTAAGTAATGTAATTGTGCGGGTTGGGCAGATCCTGGAGTCAGGCGCTCACGGGCCGTGTTCACATTCCTAAAGGACCTGTTGACGGTGACCCCCGCGTGAAGATTCAGGGTTGCTAATGAACTCAGAGTGGAGGGAAGGGCCAAGAAGGCTGGCACCAGGGCGAAGTAAATGAACCTTGAGGTGTGGCTCCAGGAGCACCAATGAACTTGGGAAGGGTGAGCGGGTGGATCCAGGGGCGCCAATGAACTTGGAGAATGAAATTAGAAAGGAAGGGCGGGCACCAGGGGTGGAACCAGGTAGGCTTGGAGGGAGGATCCAGCCCTATCCGGGAGAGCAGAGTTGCAGGGACAGAAGTAACCACTTGGCGGAATGGAAATACAGGGGGCGTATCAGGTCCAGGAGGAGGGTTCAGGTCAGACTCCTGGGCTAGTTTCAGGGACTAAAGAACCCGGAGGGCGGGACGGGCACTAGGGAGGGACTAATGGACCTAGAGGGTGGATACCAGGGGTAGAGAACCTCGGCGGAGATAGAGCTGGTACCAGAGAGAACCTGGAGGACTGAGTGACCAAGGAGGCGGGACTTGGGGGGGTGCTTCAGGGAGTGCATGGGAGTCCACGGCAGGCTCAGTACTGGCGTCTGAGCCAGCCTCAGAAGGAAAGAGCTAGCCAAACAAGAGCCCGAGCCGAGGCCACAGCCCTTGGGCAGTAGGCGTGACCTCTGTTGTCCCGTTCAATCCCTGCACCCATTCCCTGGTGGCTTGGACCGATGAAGCTCATCGTTGGAGAGCAGGGAAACTGAGGTGGTGACTACGGCAGTTCGTCCACTAGAGACCCTTTCAATCGCCCCTGTGGCGCTGCCTGGAGCCGAGAGCATGGCAGAGACGCCACTGTCCCCGGTCCGTGGAGACTCGGGGTGCTCTTCATCCGGGATGTGGGCCGCACTTTACGACTACGATGCGCGCGGCGAGGACGAACTGAGCCTGAGGCGCGGTCAGCTGGTGGAGGTGCTGTCCCAGGACGCCGCAGTGTCAGGCGACGAGGGCTGGTGGGCCGGCCAAGTGCAGAGGCGCCTGGGCATCTTTCCCGCCAGCTACGTGGCGCCGTGTGGCCCGGTGCCGTCGCCTGCGTCGCCCCCACCGCGTCCCTGCTCACCGTTGCACGTGGACTTCGAGCGCCTGGAGCTCAAGGAGCTGATCGGTGCCGGCGGCTTCGGCCAGGTGTACCGCGCCACTTGGCAGGGTCAGGAGGTGGCGGTGAAGGAGGCACGCCGGGACCCTGAGCAGGACGCGGCGGCGGCGGCCGAGAGCGTACGGCGCGAGGCGCGACTCTTCGCTATGCTGCGGCACCCCAACATCATTCAGTTACGGGGTGTGTGCCTACAGCAGCCGCACCTCTGCCTGGTGCTGGAGTTCGCGCGCGGCGGGTCACTCAACCGCGCTCTCGCAGCTGCCGCTCCGGATCCCCGAGTACCAGGCCCGCGCCGCGCACGCCGCATTCCCCCGCACGTGCTGGTCAATTGGGCAGTGCAGATAGCCCGCGGTATGCTCTACCTGCACGAAGAGGCTGTGGTACCTATTCTGCACCGAGACCTCAAGTCCAGCAACAGTAAGTGAGGCTAGCCCCAAGGGAAGGGGGTGCCAAGAGCAAAGAGGAGTGTCTGCCCAGGACTCTGAGAGCGGGAAGACAGGCACTGATTTAAAGTTCGTGCTCACCCTGGCGTTATTTCCTTAACTTGGGCACCTTTTTAAAAGACAGGGACAGACTGGCTTGCAGATAAATTCTTGTTACTCTCTGGACCTTCAGGAAGCCGCAGGGAGCGTTTGTATGTCTGTGTAGGTCTCCCAACTGGCTTGTACAGTACTAACCTTAAGCCTGCTGGCCATCATCACCCCGTCTCCCCATTTCCTTCCTCTCACTGTGAGCATGGCTTCTTGGTCTTGGTCTTTCCCCTAACCTTACCATTCAGATGTCTCTGAATACGCAACATTTTGGAGGAATCTTTTCTGCAAATCAGAAGTGCTCATTTGAGTCGAGAACAAGTGCACGGATCTTGTACAGTACAGGAAATCTGAAATACCTGGTTGGTGTCAGTTACCTTATCTATATTTTCCAGGTGTTAGCAGAGAGCTGACATGTGATCTAAACACAAATCCTATTAAGATCTGCTGTGTAAGCAAACTAGAGAGGGTTGCTTTTTCCCTAAGGAAGATCCCTCCCTAACCCCCCAGTGAAACGGAATCCCTTGCAAGACTAAAGGATTCAGTCAGAGCTGGTGCTGACCAGCCAGTGTTGCATGCCCATCATGAACCCTGCTAGGACAGGATCTGGCTGGAAGGACGCCAGTGTCTTCTGCAGAGAGACGGTGGCCAGGGGAATGAATGGCACTTTTCTTATATGCTAGCATGGATTTCCTTTTGCTAGCAAATCCTTCAGTACAGAAGCGTACTTGAAAGTTCAAACATATTCTCTCCATTATGTAAATTATGAATAAACTGAACGTTGTAGCTATGTGTGAGCATTGGATGGCCCTCAGTCCCTTCCCCCAGCCTATCTAATTTAGGTCTCAGCTGCCCCAGTGATGAGTGGCAAAGTCTAAGGAAGCAGGTCATGAAGAAGTAATGGTGTCACTGCGTGTCTCAGCTGACCGTGTGAAAGTCCCTGGAGTGATTTGCTTTAAGAACTGTGTCATACTAACATGCAACATTTTTTCTTTTGTGTGATATATTTACGTATGTCCAGGTGTGCATGTGTGAGGGAGTGCATGCGTGTGCTCCTGCATGAGAAGGCCTGAAGTAAACCTCGAGTGTCATCCTTAGGTACCTTACACGATTTTATTGAGACAGAGTCCCTCACATCCCTGGAATTCACCAGATTTGGCTAGGTTGACTGGCCCATTGAGCCCCATGGGTTCTCCCGCCTGGGCCTCCCCACTGCTGAGATCATAAGAGTGTGCTGCCAGACTGGGCCTTTTCTGTGTGTTCTGAAGATGGAACTCAGGTCCTGTCCTTGCACTTGCACAGCAAGTGCTTCATTGACTAAGCCCTTCCCCTGCACCAGAGCATCATCTGTAGGAGCTTATTTATGTACTTCATGCTTGGTAGTGTCTACTATCAATCCGTTCTCAGTTCGTAAAGTGTGTTGTCATTGAGAACTGAATATATGTAGCCTGCTGCCACAGAACGAGGTAAGACTCCACCTGCCCTGAAAGTCTGCCCCTGGAGGGCCCCTGCAGAACAATGACAGTACATCATACCACCCCCTCCTCTGCAGGGGCTTCATGATAACGCAGAACATGACATTCTGTAAGTTAATTCTGCCCAAGTTAATGCTCAAGATGCACAAGCCCTTACACCCAAGGTCTGAGGCTGTGGATACTGCTTTTTGCATTGAACCCAGTCTGGTTTGGCAGATCCACTCCTCACTTCGTTTGTGGGTGCAGTTGCAAACACACACATGTGGAGACCAGAGAACAACCTCAGAACTTTTTCATTCTTTCGGTACCTTTTACCTTTGGACTGAGACAGGATCTCTGATCTAGAAACTTGCTTATATTAGGCTAGGCTGACTGACTAACGAACCTCGAGATTCTACCTGTTTCTTTCCCTGTACCGGGATTACAAGCAGGCACCAGCATTCCCAGCTTTTCACATATGGGTTCTAGGACTCCCAGGCACAGATGATTGCAAGCAAGTGCTTTACTGTCTGATCTGTCTCACTAGTACTGGCTCAGTGCATCCCGAGGGTCACACCACATGTTCACAAGCAGTGCACATCTGTTAGGTGTGTGCAAAGCACTGGAGGGCATGGGAATCCTTGCTTACACACTTTCACATAAAAGTGAACTTGTAAAGAAGTCCTAATACTTGGAAATCGTTTTTAAGGTAGGAAGTTACATGCTTTCTGTTCGCACCAGTCAGCCTTAGACTGCTGCACGTCTGGGAGACACTTTGTTCTTGGGGGGATGTTCCTCCCAACTTAGCTTTGGAAAATTGCTTGCCTTCAGAACAAATAGCGAAGCATCTTAGGGTATTTTTATTTTCTTTAAAGACGGAAAAGTCTTCCTTCATTTTAAAATGTCACAATTGTAAGCAGCAGGTTTCTCTCAGTTCCTAGGGTGCTTTCTTAACATGGGGCTCCATCTCTGGCACCCCAGAAACTGGTCATGGTGGCAAATCCTTGTAATTCCTGCACTCTGAAGGTAGAGACTGGAGGCTCAGAAGTCCAAGGCTGTCCTAAGATACATACTGAGTTTGAAACCAGTTTGGGCTATATGATACCTTGTCTCAAAACACTAAAAACCTTTTTTTTAAAAAACACTCTAAATGAATTAGTTAGCTAGACACTAGATTGGTCAAAGATTTGTTGTGACGTTACCATAATTATTAATTACTTAATTAAAATGAAAAGAGATATTTGGATGTGGCTTACAATGTTCAAATCACAATGAAGCCCACAGAGTTCCATCCTTGATGTCTGCTTTATCTGTTTAGTGAACAAATGGCTTCAGCAGGTTTTGTTTGACTGCATTATTTGCTGATGGTGGTAGTGAGTTATTGACTTCAACAGGGCTTTGAGTCAATATTAGGCTATTATTTCACTCTGCAGTCAACCAACATGACTGACTGAATGGTAGGGGAGGACTTATACCCAGTCTGGGGGCAGGGATTGCTGCTTAAACAAATGCTTGAATTTATTGAAGAGTCTACACCTTTTTCTTCCTCTTCCTCTTCTTCTTCCTCCTCCTCCTCCTCCTCCTCTTCTTCTTCTTCTTCCTCTTCCTCTTTCTCTTCTTCATCTTCATCTTCCTCTGACAAGGTTTCTCTGCAGAATTGGAAGTCTTGGAACTCACTCTGTAGACCAGGCTGGCCTCGAACTCATAGAGATCTGCCTGCCTCTGCCTTCCAAGTGCTGGGATTAAAGGCATGGGCCACTATGCCAGGTGATTATATACCTTTTGACAGATGTTCTTTTCTAGTGTGTTTAAAGTCTTATTGCTTCTTGGGGACTTGTCTGTGATGAGGTGCCAATGGCAACTTTGGCCCTCTCTGACTGATAGCTACAAAGTGAAAAGCTGCAGGTGTGTGTGTGTGTGTGTGCGTGCGTGCGTGCGTGCGTGTGTGTGTGTGTGTGTGTGTGTGTGTGTGTGTGTGTATAGGCCAGAGCTCAGCTTTAGGTGTCATTCCTCAGGATGCTATTGCCTTGTTTTTTGAGACAAGGTCTTGCCTGTTTGGCTAGGCTTGCTGACCTGACCATCTAGCCCTAGAGGTCTGGCTGTCTCCACTTCTTCAAACTCTGGTCCTTACATTTGCACAGCAAGTACTTCTCACCCCCCCCCCCAACAAGCCATGCCCCATGCAAACCCAAAGTTGCAGGTTTTGAGTTTCATGGTGGTAAAGAAATGCAGGGCCCTGAGACTCCTACGGAGCACAGCATTGCTGGCTGAGCTGTCTGTCAGTCCTTGTGCGTTGCTGGAGTATGAAACAAAACAGTTTTGAGGAACCATGGAAACTGCCCCCTGCTCCATAGGGATGGAGCCCAGGGTCTCCCCAGAAATTTCTTAGTCACTCCCTGAGCTGTATCCTCATACCTCCTTCGTTTTTTATTCTGAGACAAGGTCTGGCCATTTAGTGCTGACTGGCCTTGAAAGAATTCTGTATCTCAGGCAAACCTTGAACTTTCAAATCCCAGCATCCTGAGCAACTGGAATCATAGATCTGAGCCAGGAGACCCAGCAAGTTTTATGTATACATTCAGAGAAGAGAAAAAGACCAAACAAAACACCTTGTGCTCCAGGACACATCTAAATCTCCTTGGCCCTTTCTGGGTCTCAGGAACACTGTGGCAAGGCAAGGGACACCGGCAGTGTTTCTGTTGTCAGAGTTCGATGAGTTAGTGTTAGCATGCCTGCCAGGTAATCAAGCTGGTGAGAGAGAGAGAGAGGGCAGTGATGGAGGAGATGGAACCGTCTCAGAGCAGGGCCACAGGAAGCTGGTGAAGCATCCTGGAATGGAGAGCTTGAGATCAGGTGCACATGCCTAGACCTGTGGACTCAGGGAACTCTGATGCCTCTGCCTGGGAGCCTAGGAGAATTCTGTGCCCAGAACTGGTGTGATCTGACTTGTGTGTTTGTTTACTTATTGTATATATGTATTGCCATTGCTGGCTGGAACAAGGGCTAGCAAGTGTGCTGTGTAAGAGCTTTACCGCTGGACTGTATCCCCAGCCCTGACTCACGTTTTTATTGACTAGCCCGTGAGCAGAAGGGACCAAGGTAGGCATGAGGCGAGCGAAGGCTGTCATTGCTCTCCCATGAAAATGCCTTCCAGGAGTCTAGGGGTGATACCTGAGATACACAGAGGAGTCCTTGCTTGCTCACATGAACACATGAATGTTTAACATTACTGGAATCAAGGATCAGTCCATTTACTTAAGGCCACTCAGATCTGAATTCGTTTATTTTGTTTTCTGAGACAGAGTCTGATGTATAACATGCTGGCCTCACCTCTGTAGGTAGACAGGGATGACCATGAACTCCTGATCCTTCTGCCTCTACTTCCTGAATGCTGGGATTATAAGCATGTGCCACCACACCCCTTTATGCAGTG